TGGTATAGCTGGGTCCTCAGGTCTACTATGTTCAATTTTCTGAGATACTGCCAGACTAATTTCCAGAGTGGTTGTACCAGCTTATAATCCCACCAACAATGAAGGAGTGTTCGTCTTTCTCCACATCTTCACCAACATCTGCTGTCACCTGTGTTTTTAATCTTAGCCCTTCTGATTGGTGTGAGGTAAAATCTCAGAGTTGTTTTGATTTGCATTTCTCTGATGACTAAGGATGATGAACACTTCTTTAGGTGCTTCTCAACCATTCAAGTTTCCTCAGTTGAGAATTCTTTGTTTAGCCCTGTACCCCATTTTAAAAATAGGGTCATTTGATTGCCTAGAGCCTAATTTCTTGAGATCTTTGTATACCTTATACCTCTATCAGATGTAGGATTGGTAAAGATCTTTCCCCAGTCTGTTGGTTGCAGCTTTGTCCTATTGACAGTGTCCTTTGCTTTACTGAATCTTGGCAGTTTTATGAGGTTCTATTAGTCAATTCTTGATTTTAGAGCATAAGCCATTGGTGTTCTGTTCCAGAACTTTTCCCTGTGCTGATGTGTTCAAGGCTTTTTCCCATTTTGTCTTCAATTAGTTTCAGTGTAGCTGGTTTTATGTGGAGGTCCTTGATCCACTTGGACTTGAGCTTTATACAAAGAGATAAGTATGGATCAATTTGCATTCTTCTACATGCTGACCACCAGTTGAACCAGCACTATTTGTTGAAAATGCTGTCCTTTTTCCACAGGATGGTTTTATCTCCTTTGTCAAAGATCAAGTGACCATAGGTATGGACGTTAATTTCTGGGTCTTCTATTCTATTGCATTGATCCTCCTGCCTATATCTGTTCCAAAACCATGCAGTTTTCATCACTATTGCTTTGTAGTACAGCTTGAAGTCAGGGATGGTGATTACCCAGAAGTTCTTTTATTGTTGAGAATAGTTCTCGATATTGTGGGTTTTTTGTTATTCCAAATGAATTTGCAAATTGCTCTTTCTATCTCTGTGAAGAATTGAGTGAGAATTTTGATGGGGATTGTATTAAATCTGTAGATTGCTCTTGGCAAGATAGCCATTTTTACTATATTAATCTTTCCAATCCATGAGCATGGGAGATCTTTCCATCTTCTGAGATCTGCTTCAGTTTCTTTCTTCAGGGGTTTAAAGTTCTTGTCATACAGGTCTTTTGCTTGATTGGTTAGATTCACACCAAGGTATTTTATATTATTTGTGACTATTGAGAAAGGTGTCGTTTCTCTAATTTCTTTCTTAGCCTGTTTATCTTTTGAGTAGAAGAAAGCTACTGATTTGTTTGAGTTAATTTTATATCCAGCCACTTTGCTAAAGTTGTTTATCAGGTTTAGGAGTTCTCTGGTGGAAGTTTTGGAGTCACTTAAGTATACTATCATATTATCTGCAAATATTGAAATTTTGACTTCTTCCTTTCCAATTTGTATCCCTTTGACCTCCTTTTGTTGCCTAATTGCTCTAGCTAGGACTACAAGTACTATATTGAATAGGTAGGGTGAGAGTGGGCAGCCTTGTCTAGTCCCTGATCTTAGTGGGATTGCTTCAAGTTTCTCTCCGTTTAGTTTGATGTTGGTGACTGGTTTGCTGTATATTGCTTTTACTATATTTAGGTATGAGCCTTAGATTCCTGATCTTTCCAAGACTTTTATCATGAAGGGGTGTTGAATTTTGTCAAATGCTTTCTCAGCATCTAGTGAGATGATCATGTGGGTTTTTTTTCCTTTGAGTTTGTTTATATAGATTACATTGATGGATTTCCGTATATCGAACCAACCCTGCATTCCTGGGATAAAGCCTACTTGATCATGATGGATGATTGTTTTGATGTGTTCTTGGATTCGGTTTGGGAGAATTTTCTTGAGTATTTTTGAAATGTTTTATAGATATGTGTTAAATCCATGTGGTTCATAATCTCTGTTAGTGTCACTGTATCTCTGCTTAGTTTCTGTTTCCATGATCTGTCCATTGCTGAGTGAGGTGTTGAAGTCTCCCACTATTATTGTGTGAGGTGCAATGTGTGCTTTGAGCTTTAGTAAGGTTTCTTTTATGAAAGTGGGTGCTCTTGCATTTGGTGCATAGATGTTCAGAATTGAAAGTTCATGTAGGTTGTCTTTTCCTTTGACAAGTATGAAATGTTTTTCCTTATCTTTTTTGATAGCTTTAAGTTGAAAGTCGATTTTATGTGTTATTAGAATGACTACTCCAGCTTGTTTCTTAGGAATATTTGCTTGGAAAATTGTTTTCCAGCCTTTTACTCTAAGGTAGTGTCTGTCTTTGTCACTGAGGTGGGTTTCTTGTATGCACCAGAATTCTGGGTCCTGTTTGTGTATCCAGTCCATTAGTCTATGTCTTTTTATTGGGGAATTGAGTCCATTGATGTTAAGAGATATTAAGGAGAGGAGATTGTTGCTTCCTGTTATCTTGTTATTAGCAGTGGCATTGTTTGTGTGGCTATGTTCTTTTGGATTTGTTGGAAGAGAATTACTTTCTTGCTCTTTCTAGAGTATAATTTCCCTCCTTGTATTGGAGCTTTCCTGCTATTATCCTTGGCAGTGTCGGGTTTGTGGAATGATATTGTGTAAATTTGGTTTTGTCATGGAATATCTTGTTTCCTCCGTCTATGGTAATTGAGAACAGCCTGGGCTGGCATTTGTGTTCTCTTAGGGTCTATATGATATCTGTCCAGGATCTTCTCGCTTTTATAGTCTCTGATGAGAAGTCTGGTGTAATTCTGATAGATCTGCCTTTATATATTACTTGGCATTTTTCCCTTACTGCATTTAATATTCTTTCTTTGTTTTGTGCATTTGGTGTTTTGATTATTATGTGACAGGAGGTATTTCTTTTCTGGTCTAGTCTATTTGGCGTTCTGTAGGCTTCTTGTATGTTTATGGGCATCTCATTCTTTAAGTTAGGAAAGTTTTCTTCTATAATTTTGTTAAAGATATTTATTTGCTCTTTAAGTTAGGAATCTTCACTCTCTTCTATACCTATTATCCTTAGGTTTGGTCTTCTCATTGTGTCCTGGATTTCCTGGATGTTTTTCGTTAAGAACTTTTCGAATTTTGCATTTTCTTTAACAGTTTTGTCAATATTTTCTATGGCATCTTCTGCACCTGAGATTCTCTCTTCTATCTCTTGTATTCTGTTGGTGATGCATACATCTATGACTCATGATTTCTTTCCTAGATTTTCTATCTCCAGGGTAGTCTCCCTTTGTGATTTCTTTATTGTTTCTACTTCCATTTTTTTATGTCCTGGATGGTCTTGTTCAATTCCTTCACCTGTTTGGTTGTGTTCTCTTGTAATTATTTAAGGGATTTTTGTGTTTCCTCTTTAAGGGCTTCTACCTGTTTACCTGTGTTCTCCTCAATTTCTTTGAGTGTTATTTATGTCCTTCTTAAAGTCCTCTATCATCAGCATTAGAAGTGATTGTAAATCTGAATCTTGCTTTCCTGGAGGTTTGTGGTGTCAATATTCTGTCTAAACCCTGCCTCCACAGTTATCTGGCAACACCCAGGTATGCTCCTCCCCACAGTTACCTGGCAACAGCTGGGTAGGCCTGCCCACTATAAAAGGAGCTGTCTGCCCCCTCCTCTCTCTCTTGCTCTCTGATCCTGGGCCTGCAGGTTCTCTGCCCCCTCTCCTCCCCCCTTCACTTCCCCCTCTTTCCATGTGGTCATGACCAGCCTCTACTCCTCTACCTCTCTGCTCTCTCTCTCAGTCCTTTCACTCTTTTCCCTCTGCCCTGAGTAAATTCACCTCCTGGAACCATTTAGTCTGGAGTTATCTGTCTAAGGTACTCGCAAAAATCTAACACGGGGAATTCAGGACTTTCAAGTGTGGGAGAACTAGGTTCTGATGATACCAAGTACCCTGGGTTGCTGATGCTTACATTTTTGTGCTTATCTTTTGCCATCTGACTCTCCTTAGTGCCTCCTGTGCTGTCTCTGACTGGAGCCAGTCTTTCCTATTATCTTGGTTGTGTCAGAACTGTTTGGGGTCAGTGTTGCTGCTGGGCTTAGAGCTGAGGCCCAAGATCTGCTCAGACTGGAAGGAACCAGTGCTTCAGGCTGGAGTGAGTTCCTGGGTCTCAGTGGGTCCCAGTTACTCCCTGTTTGGGGCAGGTGTTGCTGTCTCCTTACCTAAGATACTTACTGGGTTAGAGCTCCTGGGAGGCCCGCTTCCTTTGGGTTTTGTGAGATTGGGTGCAGAGCTGCCACCTGGGATCTTCTCAGTGCTTGGCCCCAGACCAGAAGCAAGGTTGTTTTGTTAGACTGTATTGTACATAAGCTGCTTATTTACAATACGATGTAAACTTCTAGTCTTATAGTTCTTATAATTATTTTTATTGTATGTAGATTGTTAATCTTAGAGAAAAGGACAACTTTTAAATAAAAAAAGGGATATGATGTGGAGATTTCTGGTTGTGTCATGTGATACAGACTTACATGATGTTTTGCTGAAGCAAGACCCATGAGAGAACACATGATGTTTGGAGAGAGTGATTGCTAGCTAGCGATGCAGCAATTCATTGATCTTTCATCTTTGCTGATTTTCACTACATTGAGAAGGGCACAGCAGAGAACTCCTGGCATTCTAGCTGGTCCTGTTGCTCTCACAGACTCTGTGGTGATTTCTTGGAGGCCTGGCTGTTTCTGCTGGATCAAGCTGCTGTTACTGATTTATGTTTGGTGACAGTTTTTGAACTGGACTGTTAGTATCCTGACACTACTGAACTGAACAGCAGTTATCCTGACAAGCAGAGATTGGAATCACCCCAAAGAACTACTTCTAAACATGTCCACATCTCCTTGTCCTATTTACCATCGTTTCTCCCCTACCTTTGGATGGTGGGCTAGAAGTGTGGTCTAGGTGTTTGAGAAACCATATCAAAATAGGTTTTGAAAAATCTAAATCTATCACTTCTTTTCATGAAAAGCCACTGATCTTGTCTTTTTTGCATGCTCACCTCCAAGCAGTGTTGGATCTGAACCTATTTCGATTTTTTCCTCTGGCAACTCTTGATAACTCTGAAAATTCTCCTTCTTGCTTACTGAAGAATTGTGACTTGTGATTTTGGAGCTTTGCCCTTGCAGTACATCTGTTTTCTTGTGTAAGTCTGAGAGATTTTCTAGAAAAGAGAAAAAAAATAATGGAGAGTAGTTGACATGTGTATGTTCTGCTTTCTCTAGTCTGTAAATACCTTTTGATAGCACACACATCTGTCTGTATAAGTGGGGAAAAATGGGCTTAGATAGTTATGAGTCAGCAGCACAGTTCTAGAATAAACTCTACAGACTAAGAAGGTTTACCCAGCTCATTAATCACAAGCAAGTATATAATGGAAAGCCAGGTCTTATGGCAGTGAGCTGAATCTTATAAGGCATCTAACTGGGATGACTCCAACTCTACAGACTAAGAAGGTTTACCCAGCTCATTAATCACAAGCAAGTATATAATGGAAAGCCAGGTCTTATGGCAGTGAGCTGAATCTTATAAGGCATCTAACTGGGATGACTCTATCCAGATTTCAGAGAATACAAGACTCTGGCACACTCTCTGAATCACAATGAGAGGCTAGTAAGGCATGATGAAGGACCTGGTAAGCCAAAGTAGTATATTTTGTAAACAACAGTCAATGGACATATACGGGGAAGCCTTAGAGAGCACCAGTTGGTTATAGTAGGTCCTGTTGAGACAGGAACTTTCAAGCAGGAAATATGTGCAAGGAGGTTCTGTTAATGCAGATTCTAACTCTGCTCTTACTTGGAAATAATATGGCCAAAGACAGTTTGACAGAGAACAAGGTTACCAGTCTTACTTTGCTTAGGACTTTCTAGCTTTTGCACTAATGACTTAAAAAACTCCTCAGTGGAGCCTTCATCCTGAGGAATCTAATGCAGCATTGCTCACTAGAGACCTTAAGGAAGTTGTGCTTATAAATACATATTTTTGACCACAACCCCTCAAAAAAAGGCAAGACAAATATGATATCCATAGTAGGTTTAACTTCCTCCCAATTTCAGAGCAATCCAGAGAAAGAAGGAGTAGATGTTTTTACTGAGGTTTCAGGTCATTGTTCTAGTATTTCTTCACAGTGAATAATGTGTCAGGGGACCAACAGCCCTGGGGTCTGGCTTCAGAGACAGAGATACAGGGATTAGGACTAGGCTCTTCAGTGGTGGAAGTAAAGTTGAATTTCTAGGGTTCATTTCTTTTAATCCTCCCCTCCTCTACCATGGCAAGAATAAATAAAATTGTAAGTAATTATAAAATTAATAAAATCATCTGGTGAATCTTCTACTGATTTTAAGTCATACTATATGTGTATATGTATATATACATATACTATATATAGTACATAATATAGAATATGTACTATACTATAACGGAAGCTGGGGACCATGCCAGAGGTAAGGTAGTGTCATGGATGAAATCAGGCAATGTTAACCTTTACGAGAAGCTACATTTTTCTTTGAGAATTATAAAAATTTATAAAAGACTATAGATAAGGCCTTTGGAATACATGGATCTGAACCTGCTTATATAAATACAGGATGGATATAGTGCTGAAGATGTTTAAATTATGGAAACTTGACAAGAAGTTTGCTAATAAGGGTGGAACAGAAAAAAACTGAGGATCAAGAGCTACTCTTTGGACACTGATTTTGTGGCTTCAAAAATCTTCAATGGGCCATATTATTCTTTTCCCTTGAAAGCAAAGTTTGTGGTCAAAAGGTGGAAAACACACTTTACTGAAGTGAGTTGGTCTGATGCTGCTTGCGTTCTAATGCTAAATACTGGTTTCTCAAGATGGGCTCTCCTTCACTATCTCCCCCCACATGCCCCTCCCCAGGAGCTGATTCTTACTTACAGAAAATGGTCCTAGATGAACCTTCTCCCCATTTTAACTGGTCAATAAAAGGTTAGAGCTTGTGATTGGGCAGTGGATGAGGAAGGCGGGACTTGAATTTCAAGTGAGAGTTTTGCAGGTAGAGTGAGAAGAGGAGAGGAAAAAATGGAGGTAGAGGAAGCCACTGTAGACCCTGTGGCCAGGAGAAACAGCAAGCTGGGGAATAAATTGGTATAGCTCTAAATCTGCCCAATCTAGGTTTATGGCTGGTAAATAAAATACCTGGGCTGTGTGTCTTTATGTGGGCTTGTTAGGGTGATACTTTACTTCTACACTTTACCATGTCAATATATTAAAACATCTGTTTCCCCAAATTTATAGAAACTGCTGTTAGCATTCTATCTAAACTCCACCCCCACAGTTACCTGGAAACAGCCAGGTGGACTTGGCCCACTATAAAAGGGGCTGCTGGCCCCCTCCTCTCTCTCTTACTCTTATTCTCCTGCTCTCTTGGGCTCTTCCCTTTTTGCTCCCTGTCCCCTTACCTTTCCTCCTCCCTTCCCCATTCCCTTCCCCCTCTCTCCACATGCTCATGGCTGGCCTCTACTTCACTTCTCTCCTCTCTTCTCTTCTCTTCTCTTCTCTTCTCTTCTCTTCTCTTCTCTTC